AAAGTGAGGCAGAGTCCCCCCACCTTAGCAAATGCAGTGCACACCCTGCTGGAGACGGAAGGTGGCCTTGGCCCCTGGATCACACACATGGGACTTGCTGCACATGAAGTCTGATGAAGGCCACAGGCAACCAGAGTTCTGCCTCTGCACATGGGGAGTTGAGACCGAGTTCCTGCTTACCCCATGGGTGCCATTAAAGCTCTTCCCCTTCATCCTCTGCCGAGTCAGCCTGGGGTCTCTGTCCCCCAGTGCCGTCAGACACCACAGAACCGCCCCGACCCACCCCTAGTAAAGTCTTGCCTGTACTTAAATTATTTCCTGTTCCAGGGTTCATGTGTGCAGCTCAGGATCCAAGAACCCGACACCGCACCTGGTGCCCACTTCTGCGTGTGCGCAGGGGTGCACGCAGGCCCAGCACCCACTGTCACTCCCACCTGTTTTGCCTGCCCAGCCACAGGCTCATGGCCTGTCTGCGGCATCTGCTTCAGGGACACACCACACGGTCTCTAGGCTGCAGGAGGGGAAGGATCTTTACCGCCACCCTCCAGTAGGGTTGCCAGACAACACAGGTGAACTTCAGGTCCTCAGGAACCCTCGCTCACCTGGGGGCATCTATGCGTGGGCGTACGGACACCTGGGATGTCTACGGAAAATTTGTTACTTATCTGAAATTCAGATTTACCTGGGCATCACCGTCCACCTCTGCTGCCCTATGCACAGGGTTCCCTTCCTGGCTGTGGGGCAAATGACTGAGAAGGTGACAGGTGGCACGGGAGCCCAGGACATCCTGGGACCCTCAGGAAATGGGACTTGTTCCTGGGCATTTTGTGGAACCCTGGCCTCTCTGCCAGGGTCCAGGAAGCCCTGGTCATGGGACACCTGGCAGGCCAGCTAGAGTGAGGGCCAGGCCAGGCTGGCTGGGGTCTCTCGTGGGAAGAGGCGGGTGCTGACGACCGAGAGGGAGACAGCAGGTGCGCATGGGGCCTGTGAGGGTCCCCAAGGACGTGAGAAGAGGAAAAGCAGAGTCCTGGGCTGGGAGGGCCCTGGAGCCCATCCACATGGCCCCCCTTGAGTGGTCTCCCAGCCCCCACCACCACTCTGGCTCCCTGGGCTTGATCTGCCCCCAGAGCACCCTAAAATGGGATGGGGGCCAAGGCCTGCGTCCACTGTCAGTCACTTGCCTGGGGTATCGATGCCTGTTGGTGTCCAGGTCAGGAAGGGCTAGGCTGCCAGGGCACAAGCATGTGGCTGAGCCTGGGTGGGGGACACGTGGGCTCACAGGCCGGGCCTCAGGCCTGCCCTCTGCGTGGACACAGGAAGCCACTACTAGGGCTTGGTCCCAGCCTGGGAAGGCGCCTTGGCCAGGGAGGGAGGCTGCCCCGGGTGAGAGGAGAGAAACGGTCCTTCCCGACAGGGGCTCAGGAAGTGGCCAGGACAGAGGGACCCCCAGGGGTGGGAGGAAGGACAGGATGGAGGCCAGGGAACCCTGCCCACTGAGGCACGACAGGGCACCCCAGAGTGTGACCCTCCACTTACTTCCTGTTTGTTCTCATTTTCGGGGCCAGCACCTCCAGGACCTTCTGCCCGATGGCCTCTGGCTGTCAGTTCCCCAGGTCAGCCCTAAGTCTCCTCCAGGGCTGGCCATCTCTCCTGGGGTTTGGCGGGCACCCCTCCTGGGCCTTGCCAGTGCAGCCTGCTGCGCTGGGCCCCTGTTCTTTGCCCTTGGTGGACCTGCCCTGGTCACGTCCATGGCCCAGCCCAGCCACAGGATCCAGAGCCTCGCTTCCTGCCTCCTGCCAGGGAGCCATGCCTCCCCAGACATGGGGTCTTTCTCCAGAGGCCTGCCAGACCCTTGGGGTTGAGGCAGAGCCAGCCGCCCTCCTGCTGCCCTGGCCACCATCACGTGGAGGCCCCTGGGCACCCAGCACCTCTGGGAGCTTGGCTTATGAACGGGCATCTGTGGGGAAGAAACATGGCCAGCGGCCAGCCCCAAACAAGGCAGAGCAGGACAGGGCAGGCTGAGCGGCAGCAGCCGGGCCAGGTGGCCACCCTTCCTGTTCCCACTGGCTGCACCCAGGGCCTGGATCAGGGCCTGGCCGCCTGTGGGAGGGCCACCTCACCCTGGCCAGGACCCCCATCACAGGTGCTGGACTGAGGGGCTTGAGCCAGTCTGTAGGGGTCTCCAACCTGCCCCAACCCAGGAAATGAGTGTTGCAGGGGCCTAGGTGGGTCCCTGTGTGTTCTAGCCTGCGCCGTGGACGTGCGTGCACGTGGGAGACTGCCTCGGACACAGGGAGCCGTGTGTGTGCACCAGGTCCTCCCAGCACCCCCCCACACACACACAGGTCACCCTCCTGGCTTGGCTCCTGGTCCTCAGGCGGGGCTTGGCTCTCTCTGAGAGTGGAAGCAGAGGTTTCAGCTGGGTGACCCTCAGCGTCCAGCATGTCTGGGCACATGTGCAGATGTCACAACAGGGGTGTCCTGGTCTGGAGTGGAGGCCAGGGATGCTACTCAGTGCCCTGCAGTGCCCAGGACACCATCCACAGTGCCAGGGGGACTGGGCAGAAGGAACCCAAGGCCAGGGGTCCGAATTTCCTCAGTTTTATTACCCACAGAGTAAGACTTCTAAAGGGACCCACCTGCTGGGCTGCAGCAGATGCACAGACACACACGCACAGACGCACAGACACACAGACGCACACACACACACACACACACACACACACTACCATGATGCACAGGACAGGGCCTGGCTCAGGTCTGGGGAGCAGGCCCATCCGCTCCGGCTCCCACACTAGGCCCATACCTGGGCTTGGCTGGACTCGAGCCAAGGTGCTGAGCGAGACCTCACTCCAGGGCTGCTCCCTGTGGCTGCATGAGGGACAAACTCACTTGGGTCCCACTTGAGGGAGGACACAGCTAACCCCCCAACCAAGAACACACATCCCAGTCACCCCAGGAAATGCTTCAGCTGACTGCCATGAGCTGAGTTGTGTGCCCAGGAAAACCCGTGTGTGTCCTGAGTCTTGCACCTGTGAGGGGGACTTCATTTGGAAACGGGGCCTTTGCAGGTGTGAGGAGTAAAGGTGTAGCCCTGAGGGCGGTTCTGTCCAAGGTGGGTGCTGACACATGACAGCTGTCCTCAGAAGAGGCACACTGGGGAGGATGGGGAGAGATGCCCCAGGAAGACAGGCGGGGGCTGGAGCCGTGCAGGCACCAGCCGGGGCTGTCCGAGCCCCAGGGCTTGGGAGAGGCAGAAAGGGTCCTCCCTTGGCCACTGGTGGGACCGCAGCCCTGCGCACGCCCGGGTCTCAGACCTCTGGGCTCCCGAGCACAGCAGCGTCCATTCCCACTGTTGAGATCGCCCGGCTTGCAGTCATTTGCTACTTGAGTCTTTGGGAGCTCATACCCCTCCTGGGCTGGGCCCAAGCTGTGCCAGGTGAGGGACAGACATTCATGGGGATGGCCTTTCCGCCCACCGGTTGGTGGTGTGTGGGAGAGGTGCAGAGTCCAGCCTGACCTCTCACTCTGGGGTCTCACAGAGCCAGMCAGCCATCCCACACACCTACACAACCCAGGTGCACGCTCACACACGCGCACACTACAGCCAGCATTCCTATGTTGGGGTCCTGGACATGCAGGGGACAGATCTAAGCTCTTCTGGATCTGACACTGGAGGGGGGGCAGGGGCCCATCCGTTCCTGCCCACACACAAAAGCACAGTCATGTGAAAGCAAAGCCTGACCCTGACACACAGAGAAGTCCCTGACCTGGACCCAGGGGTGGGAGGGGACAGCCAGGCAAGGGGGATGTGGGGAGGAGGAGGGGTTGAGGTCTCTCCTGGGCAGGCGACCTAGCAGCCCTACACAGACAGACACACAGACACACACACAGACTCACACACAGACTCACAGACGCACACAGGCGCTCTCTCTCGCACACACATCCACACACACAGAGCAGGCAAGGAAGTGGGGGGCTCCCTGCTGACCATCTTTGGCCAACAGTTGTGGAGCATCAACCCTGGGGATGGCTGGGACGAGTGGAGAGCCCCCTGCAGGTTCCTCCCAATGCCCCTGTGGCTTTAGCTGGGGTCTGGAGGGCAGTGAACAGAGGCCGCCCAGCAGGGAAGGGGCCCATCCAACTTCAGGTCCATGGGCTCCAGCACCTCTGAGCTCTGGGCCTGGTTAGGACCAGCACAGAGAGGTGGTGGAGGCTTCTGGAGGGACAAGACGGGGTCGGAGTGGAGGGACTACTGGGATCACAGCTGGCGAAGCCCCTCAGTGCTAAGGCAGGGACCTCAAGAGGGGCCAGGTGCAAGGACAGGGGTGGATTCTACTGGTCTGGTTGGGTTTTACCTCCGGACCCGGCCTCCGGCACCCCAGCAGCTCCTTCCCACTCCTCCCTGACATGCTGTTTCACAGACCCCAGTCCCCACACCTTCTTCTCTGCCAACAACCGGAGGTGCCTGCTTCCTGGCTGGAAGTGACGCAGCTGGGGTAATCCTGGTGGGACTGTGCAAGGGGGTCAGCCTGGCTAGAAGTGGCCCAGCTGGGGTAATCCTGGTGGGACTGTGCAAGGGGGTCAGCTTCGGAGCATCAAGGAACTGGCAAGAGAAAGCCATAGCAGGTTGCACAGCAGGGGCGTTGCTAAGGTTCCGGGTGTTGCCTTGCAAGGGGCCAGACAGAAGGATCGGGTCACTGCCAGAGTTTCGCCGGACCCCAAGCTTTAAGCAGCTTAAGGCAGGTCCACTCAGGCTGACGCCACCAGGAAGCCTGCCTGGGTTCCGCGATAGCAGCCCCTCCCCCCGACCCTCAGCGCCATACGCGGACTGCGCAAGCGCGCGCGCGAGAACCGGCGCGGGGCCGCCCGCTCCTAGAGCGCGCAGCCGCACTGCTCCACCCTCCACCTCACTGCACTGGGGGGCGTGTCCTGCGTGGGGGCGGGGCCAGGCCGGGCAGGGCCTATAAAAGCGCCGGCGGCGGCGGCGCGCCCGGCTCCTCTCGGCGGCGGTAGCCCAGGCGGAGGGGTCCGCGGTGGCGGCGGTGGCGGCGCTGTTCCCCGCGCGGTCCGCGGAGCGGGGTCCGGGTTGTTCGACGTCGGGCGTCGGTGGCACTGCGGCCCCGGCCCGAGCCCGACCCCGGTGAGCGCGGCCCGGAGGACCTCAACCCGGGCGCGAGGAACGGGCCCCACGGAGTCCCGGCCGCCTCCAGCCGGCCGCGCTCCCTGCGGGCCGGCCGCCACCGCTTACCGCCCTCCCTTTGTCTGCTCCGCCCGCAGGGTCCCCTCCCTGGCCGCCCCCCGCCCACGGGCCGCCCCCCGGGCCCTGTGTCCCCTCCCCCGCTGGCGGGGCCCGGACGGAAGATGGTGCAGAAGAAAACAGCCGAACTTCAGGGCTTCCACCGTTCGTTCAAGGTGAGGGCCGGGTCGGTTTGGGGGCGCTGCCGCTTGGACCACTGGAGTAGCCGGTGGGGTCAGAGCTCACCCCGGAAGCTTGTGCGGGGTCCTCTGCCTGTGCTTGGGGGTACCGCCAAAAGGGTGTGCGCTGGACTGGGTGGTCAGCAGGCCCAGGCCCTGTTCCTTGCTGCGATTTGCGGGGTCTCTTCCAGGAACCCCAGGAATGGCTTAGAGTCTCCTGCCTAGTTTGGTTCTGTGGCCCCCGCAAGTCCGAACCCGGTGTGTGCAGGGCGGGTGGTCAGCAGTCCACAGCCCAGTGCTCTAGGTTGAGTGTAGTCCCTCCTAGAATCCCTGGCCGGGCTGGTGCCCACTGCAAGCCTCAGCTGGTTGTGCGTCGGTCGGAGGGGGTCAGCAGGCCAGAGTCTCCTCTCCACCTTTGTTTGGCTGTTGGGAATCTTCCTCCAGAAATTTCTGGCCAGGTCACTGCCTCTGGCTGCCACCTCCAGATGGCCTGTGAAATGGAGGAGTGGATTGGACACCCCTCCCAGACACCCCAGACCCAAGCACTATTTCCTGTCGGAGTGGGAAGTTTCAGCAGAGGCCCAGTGGTGGCTGCGGCTGCTGAGTCCTGGTCTCAGATGAGCGAATCTGGGGGCGGCGAGGAGGGCAGGTGCTGGGCAGGGGCCCCTGTGGGGCCTGGCCCAGGGGACGCAGTGATGTCAGCTTGCCAGCCCCACCCCGCAGGCCTGGTTATGTAATGGCTTCCTTGGGCTTCCTTGGGCAGGGACCTGTTGCCCGGTAGAGAAGGCAGAACGTGTGTGTGGTGTGGGTAGGAAGGCACCCACACCAGTGTGGGAGGAGCATTCAGAGCCTAGTGAAGAATTCCCAGTCCAGCCAGTGTCCCTGGCCAGCTGCCCCACCCCTGCCCCACATTGCCTGTCATCCTTGTTTCCCTCTAGGGCAGCCATGGTCATGGCCTGTTGGGAGTGTCCAGGACTGGTCAGTAGAGGGATGGATCTGAGATGTCACCTACAGTGGTCTTTCCCCTCATGGGGTAGGGTATGAGTCAAAATGGGGTCAGCGCAAGGGGCCAGTGAGGCAGCTGTAGCAAACCTGAGCTTTCTGGATGGTTCCGGATGCCTCCTGCCAAGGCCTGCTGACTGGAGGCCCGTAGCCAGACCCACACTGCCAGGACTGTCAGGCAGCCCTGCTAGGAATTAGGACTGTAGTAGCCCCCAGCATGGCGACTCCTGTTTGACAGTCCTGATTGTGACTAGGGGGGCCCTCCGTTGGAGGATCTCCTTCTACAACCCACCTCACCTCTCCTGTAACCCTTGCCATTCAGCAGGGAGGCACATCAGCCAGGCCTCTTCAGGTGATTTTACTTTTTTTGGGGGGGGGGGTGTTGGGGTTGAACTGACGGCCTTGGTGTGCTAGGTGAGCACTGAGCCCCATCCCCAGCCCTGTTTTCTTCATTTTAAGTGCAAATGTGGAGGGTCCAAGATCATGCCAGGGTCCCCAGCACATGGTGTCTGTATCACTGTCCTGGCCCCAGCAGACCTGTCCCTCACCAGTGTGGCTCTGGCCACCTCATCTGTCTCAGCCTTTCTGAGTTGGAGGCTGTGGCTAGCACATGGGAACCATGATCAGAGAAGGCCAGAGGCTTACACTGGGTCCTGCAACCTTTTGAGTTCTTTCACCCTTAGGAGGTTTTAAGAGTTGGGGGCAGCTGCCTCTCATGTCTTACCATGACAGTGGTCAGGGAGCAGGTGCCATGACTCCTTTGACCTGGAGACTCAGGTCCACCCTTCCTTCTAGTTGCCCCCTTGTGTGGTGGCTGCCCTGAGCCCCGGGTGCCTCTGTGCAGGAGCCTTATAAGAACGCTGCGTGCTAGATGCGTGTGCCTGCCTCCCTGCCGGGCTGGCGGGGTGCCCCCTTCTCCTGCCGGCCTATCAGCTCTCTGCCAGGGCAGGATGGGTGGGGAGGCAGGGAGGGCCAGTGCTTGCTTTTCATTCCCACCCACTGCCTCTCTGTGCCAGGCGGCTTCCTGGCCTCTGGTTGCCTTTTCTGCTGCGGGTCCTTAGTCTCCTGGAGTGATTTCTCTACCAGATGACCCTTCTGTCAGAGCCCTGCCCAGTGGTCTCAAGGCCCAGAAAGGGGCAGTAACTTGGCCCAGGTCTCCTTGCACCTACGTTAGCATTACTCGGCACACATGTCATGGCCCATGCTGCCTGCTGCCTGTTCTCAAGGTGGTGGGGACTAAATGAGAGCTAGTTTACAAGGGAACCTGGTAGATCCTCAAACTCCCCAGCTTGCAAGGCCTGCCCCTCATGCAGGGGACTTAAGTCTAGAACTGGACCATCCATTCTGTGGAGACATTTGTTCCAATAGTCTTCTGCTTGGGGACCAAGAAGAGGCTTCTGTGACATCCATCTTCCCTGATCAGGGACTTAGACTCTCTCTCCTGTCCTTGTTCTGTCTCTTACCCAAGCACTTGGCTGAATTTGAATCCTGGCCTCCACTGGCTCCTCCCCAAAGGGGTGGGCTTCTTAGCTGGTTCCAAGGCTGAGGGGGCTCCCTCCAGGGGTGTCAGGCTGACCTAGACAGTGGAGACTGTGGACTAGCCAAGGCCTGGCAACTCCTGCCCATGTCCCTGTAAGCTTCTGGAGCCAGAGCAGTTCAGCTGGACTCTGGCCACCCACAGGTGTGGTGCTTTGTTTCCCAAGGTGGGTTGATGGTACTCAGAAGATAGTTTTGGATGCACAGAGCAGTTGTGGGAGGGTGTTCCAGGAAGCACAGCGCACAAGCACAGGTGTGGAGGGTGAGATCTGTGTAATGGCAGAAGGGCCAGAAATGGCCTTAACCCATGTAGGGCTCATGTCCTCGGATGCAACCTGGGATTCATGGGAGAACAAGCCGGAAGTCCGGCCTGGCGGCTCCTGCCTTACCACTGCCTAGCTGCTTTGGATCCTCACAGCCCTGTCCCCAAGGTCAGCCCTGAGGTCATGTGTCTGGGGAGGTTGTCCACATTTTGGGGATGAGCAGACTGAGGCACAGGACATGGCTTGGGTCTGTCTATGACTCAGTCCTGGGCTGGGGTAGAAGGCCCGGTTCCTCATGGTCAGACAAAAACAAGGCTTCTCGCTTGTGCATGTGGACCTTGGGTCTGGATCCCTCTCTGAGGTGGGGTCCTGGGCACTGTGGAGTACTGAGCACCAACCTGGCCTCCACCAACTCCATGCCAGGAGCTCCTCCAGTAGCCACAGCCATGAGTGTCCCTAGATATCACTCAGTGTCTCCTGGGGAGGCTCTCTGAGTTAGGTGATCACATGGACCCCTGAGAAACTGCACCCCATGGTCAGATGCCCTGCTGAGGCCCTAGGATGCTGCACACAAGTCAGTCCGGGAGGCTGGGGTCCCTGGCCCATCCGGTGTGCACTCACTTCTAGTGTGAGTAGGGATGTGATAGATTTTTTCTGTGCTGGGCACCCAAAGTCTCTTGCCTTGGCACTGTTGACATTTGGGTCAGTAGTTCCATGTACTGGGGGCTATGGTCACCCAGGCCTGAGTGCTTTCTTCTCTCCTGTCCTCTACAGGGGCAGAATCCTTTCGAGCTGGCCTTCTCCCTAGACCCAGCCCACCACGCGGACTCGGACTTCAGCCCGCAGTGTGAGGCCCGCCCTGGTAAGGGCCAAGAGGGCAGGCGTGGCACTGAGTTACCCCTGTGCAAGGGTGAGGGCTGCCCTGTGGGAAGGTGGGTTAGGCAGGGAGCACCCTTCTGAGCCCTTGGCCTTCCCCGTACAGACATGCCCACAAGCCAGCCCATCGACATCCCAGATGCCAAGAAGAGAGGCAAGAAGAAAAAGCGATGCCGTGCCACCGACAGTTTCTCAGGCAGGTTTGAAGGTGAGTGAGGCAGCCAGCCAGGGTGCTGGGGAGCTGGCACCAGCCACCGTCCTCACCCCTCCCCGCCGCTCCCCAGACGTCTACCAGCTGCAAGAGGACGTGCTCGGGGAAGGGGCCCACGCCCGCGTGCAGACCTGTGTCAACCTCATCACCAACCAGGAGTATGCAGTCAAGGTGAGATTCTCCCCACTGCCCCCCAGGGCTGCTAGCACTACTGGCCAGGGCCTGGCTGGTGTTCCAGCTCTAGCCAACAGCCTGGGGAAAACCAGTGTCTAGACATGGCCCGGGGCCCTGCAATGCAGGCCGCCCCTGGGAATCTAGCTCAGCCCTCTTATCTCGCTGGGAAGTGACAGTGAGGGCTGGCCCCTGCCTACCCTCACCCAGGTACCAAGAGCCTAAGAGTTGCTGCCATGAGCTGGAGGCTTTGGCAGAGGCCATACTGGCCTGCTGCAGGCCTCGCACCCAGCCCTCAGCACCACAAGCACTTAGTGGATTGGTTATAAGGACCGAAAGGCAAGGGTGCAGTGTCTGGGGCCCAGCATGGGGGCTCTGCACTTGGGGAAACCCAGTGCAGGTCCACGAGAGCTTCCTGTGTTCCCCTCTCCCCCAATTCCTCTGGGTATGTCCAAGAGGTCTGGAAGCAGAGTCCAGATGAGGCCCTGGCATGGCCTTGGAACCTGGCAAGGCTGACTGGTCAGACCCTGTGTTCTGAGAAGCCTTCAGGCTTTTTTCGTGATTCTACATCCGGCTCCTGGGCTGGGCGGGGTCACAACAGGGCTGCCTGCCCAGGGAGGAGGGCCAGGTGCTCCCTGGCAAGTAGGCTAGAAGCCTGTAGACCCTAGTAGACATCCAGGCCCTGCCAGTGGCTTCTGCATCTGAGGCTCAGGAGGAGCCTGAGGAGGAAGAAGAGGAGAATTGGTCATCCCATTTGAATAGGGAGGTAGGAACCTTGTCTAGGAGAAGTTAAAGGAGGCTGTTGGCATGGTGCGAGGGCCAAAGAAACGGTCCCTCCCCTGGGCTGGGAAATCAGACCTGCATGGCAGCGTCCTTCTGAGCAGCCTCCTCCCCAGAACTCTGCAGGGCAGATTTCCTCTTCTTGTTGGACAGGGTAGGTAGCCCAATTCACACTGCGTGGCCTTTTGGTGGCTCCTGACTGCCTCCCCAGTGCCTTGCCATGACCCAGAGGGTTTGGGGAGCCCAGGGGGCTTCCTGGTGATAGTGTCAAGGCTGTTTTGAAATCTGCAGTGGCAGGAGGAGGTGTCCTGGGCACAGGAAGCAGGAAATATTGGGACTCAGGCTGGGTGGGGCAGAGTAGCCAGATTGCCCTCGGGATAGTTTGGGGAATGTCCCACTCTGTGGGCACAGTGCAAGGGATCCCTGCCAGGAGGGACTGCACTGTCCTCCGTAAAGTGGGAGTTCTAGCTCGCTTCCCCAGGGGACAGGATGAGGTTCAATGTAGTCCAGAACCTGGGGAGTACCCTACCCTCTGGACTTGGCACTCAGCACTGGATTGAGTAACAGTGATGTCTCTTGAAACCTCTTGCTGGGACAGGTGTGTTTGTCACTAGACATGTGGGACAGTACACTAGCTGTTGGTGCCCTTCAGTTTCTCCCCCAGCCAGCAGCTGTAGTGGGAGACAGCTCTGGGCATGTGAGGTCACCCAGCGTCCACTCACCCGGTGAGAGGAGCTTGGGTGTCTAACCTAGGGAGAGAGTCCCAGCAGGAACTGGGGATCGCTGCCAAGCACCTCTGACCCCACTTCTCTGACAGCAGATATAGCTAGGTACCTGCAGAGGCAGAACCCTCCAGCCCTTTAAGCTAATAGGAGGAGAGGGCGTAGGCTACAGACTGTGGGCTGACTTCCCAGGGCTCTGGGGTCCTGGGAGGCTGGACCAACTAGTGGCTAGGAGGCTGACCAGGGCTGGCCTGAAAGACACAGGCTTCTGGAGCTCGTGGGGCCATCTGCCCAGTCTGGCACAAAGCCAGGGAGGCAGGACTTGCGCAGCCGCATGGCAAATGGGACTGGCTGGGCTGGCAGCCAGGTGCCAGAGGCCTCCCTAGTTCCATGGGTCATGTGGGAACCAGCCGTCTGGGAGCAGAGAACTGTGGCTGGCCAGCTTGTCCCAGCACCCCCCCTCAGGTATCCTGTAGGCCCCAGCTCCTGATGTGCGTCAGGCCCGCAGACTCGGGCAGAGAGCTGCCCCCACTTGTCTTTCCTTCCCCTGGTGCTGCTGGCTGAGGTGGCACCGTACCTCCTGCCTGTGCTGACATCACAGTCCTGACTTCTAGCAAGTTCTGGGCCACGGAGGAGAGCTCTCGTTTCCAGAGGGGAGGGTCTGATCTCTGATGGTGGAGCTTCAGGCAGCATTCAGGGCAGGTTTCTGCGGGGGCTGGTCTGTCCTCTCACCCAGGTGGTGTGTGTCTCCCCACCTGTTTCAGATCATCGAGAAGCAGCCAGGCCACATTCGCAGTAGGGTGTTCCGGGAGGTGGAGATGCTCTACCAGTGCCAGGGACACAGGTAAAGTGACCTGCCCTCACCACAGTGCCAGTCCCTGAGTCATCTTTCCATGGATGAATGGGCCCAACCGCCAAATCACCGCAAGCAGGATGCTGACCAGGCACTGCTGGGCAGTGTGGGTGGGTCCAGTGGCAGGCTGCAGATGGGTCCTGGAGGGCATGGGAGGGCTGTCCCTCCTAGGCTAGACACTGGGTGCTCAGGGGCCTCAGGAAGCCTCAGCTCCTCCTCTGCCCCCACCCCAGGAATGTTCTGGAGCTGATCGAGTTCTTTGAGGAGGAGGATCGTTTCTACCTGGTGTTTGAGAAGATGCGAGGTGGTAGGTAGGGGCTCCTGGGTGGGGAGTGTTGGGAGACATTTCCAGCTGCATCCTTAGGGATGGGGGCTCCGGGACACCAGGAGGAGCCTCTCAGGTGGAAGTGGGCGCTAGACATTAGCGCAGGGACCTGGAAGTGACCATGTCCTCCCTTGGCATGGCCTTGCCCCAGGTTCCATCCTGAGTCACATCCATAAGCGGCGACACTTTAACGAGCTGGAGGCCAGTGTGGTGGTGCAGGATGTGGCCAGCGCCTTGGACTTCCTGCACAACAAAGGTGGGTGGTGGGGCTGACTGTGCGCCTGCAGACTGCAAGTCTGGGGTTTCTACCTGCCTGGAACTCCCGGGGAGATGCCTCCACCCCTAACCCCCTGCTCCACTTCCCTCAGGCATCGCCCACAGGGACCTAAAGCCCGAGAACATCCTCTGTGAGCACCCCAACCAGGTGAGGCAAGCCCCCACCCGGGTCCTGTGGGGTCACCCCTGGGAGTGTCCTTCTCTGCTTGCCAGGGCTGGACCCCTCCCACAGCCCTCTGGTGATCCTCCAGGTCTCTCCTGTAAAGATCTGCGATTTCGACCTGGGCAGTGGCATCAAACTCAACGGGGACTGCTCTCCCATCTCCACCCCAGAGCTGCTTACCCCGGTGAGAGTTAAGGGCGCACCACGGGCGTGCAGGGAAGGGCTTGGTGCGCAAGCTTGCGTAACCTCGAGGTGCCTGGGCCGCCTCCACAGCTCCTGTCCGGCTACCTTCCCTGGAGCCGGCTTCCGCTTAGCAACAACTGCTGATTGGCTGCGGGGGGTGGGGTGCCACGGGGGCGGGGCCGGGCGGGGCGGATTCCCTTCACCTGGTGAAGCAGGGCAGTGCCAGTCCAGTTCTGGGCACTTGCTGATTGGGCTGGGCGGGGTGAGCTCCAGCCACAGCTGCTGGTTGGCAGGCTGTGGATGGGGCGGGGCCTCGGGTGGGCGGAGGTGGGGCTAGGCGGGTTCTGGGCACCTGCTGATGGGGCGGGGCAGGCTCCAGCAGCAGCTTCTGATTGGCTGGGTTTTGTGGGGCGGTGGGTCTGTTGACCACACCCTCTTGGCCTGGCAGTGCGGCTCTGCAGAGTACATGGCCCCAGAGGTGGTGGAGGCCTTCAGTGAGGAGGCCAGCATCTACGACAAGCGCTGCGACCTGTGGAGCCTGGGTGTCATCCTCTACATCCTGCTTAGCGGTTACCCGCCATTCGTGGGCCACTGTGGCAGTGACTGTGGCTGGGACCGTGGGGAGGCCTGCCCTGCCTGTCAGGTATCCTTCTGCTCTGGATACCCCTTGGATGTCTCCTTCCTTCCTAGGGGCTACCCTTGTGCCCCAGGCATCTGTCCCTGATTGGGTCTGCAGGGTAGTGTCAGGCGTCCTGGGTTCCCTAGCCCATGGGAGGAGACAGACACACTGGTCAGAGCTGAGGATTTGAGAATTGGTGGTTGGGCCTTTTGTCCATGGTGTGAGGGTCATTATTCATGACCTTATGTCCCCAGGGCCAGGCTCCCTGAACTGCCTTTTGTAAATCAAGCTTCACCCTAGACAGTGTTCAGGTTCCCTCCAGGCATCTGTCCCTCACTTTACTTTGGCCCCAGAGCTCCCAGCGCGTCACTGGAATTAGGGCCTTGGCCCTCTCCAGTCCTCCACCCTGCATGCCAGGTGGCTGGTCCAGCACCCTCGCCTGTTGTGGGTTCTGGGGACCCTGGTAGGCTGCCAGTCTCTGGCATCCAGATTTGCACACTGGGGTGACAGGTGTCCTGTGGGCTGCCACTGATCATCATACCCCTCCCGTAGAACATGCTGTTTGAGAGCATCCAGGAGGGCAAGTATGAATTCCCAGACAAGGACTGGGCCCACATCTCCTTCGCCGCCAAAGACCTCATCTCCAAGCTGCTTGTCCGTGATGCCAAGCAGAGGCTGAGCGCTGCCCAAGTCCTGCAGCACCCCTGGGTGCAAGGGGTGAGCGCCAGGGCCTGGGAGAGGACACCCAGCTCCCTGAGCTGCACCTTCCTCCAATGGATAAGGGGGAGTCTCACAAGTATCTGATACCCAGAGGGTTCAGCATGGCCACGCTGAGCTGCAGGGGTGGGTCTGTGTCTCCTGGGCTACACTGCAGTCCTAGGCCACGGGGTTTAGCTGAAATCCCACTGCCTCCCTGCCAGCCCTGCAAGGGGCTCACAGGAGCAGCTGCTCAGAGATTCCTGGCCTGGTGGGCCCTAGGCTCAAGAGCCACAGGGAGCCACAGTGCACCAAGCAGGGATCAGCCAAGGGACAGGTGGGCAGCAGCCCCAGGAGAGAGCCCAGCCCAGCCAAGGTAGACTCTTCACCTGCCATTTACAGTCCAGGGCCCATCCGTTTGCCCACTCTAGGATGGGCCTTCAATCTGGGAAGGGCCAGGCACTTCTCTAGGTCAGAGGTCATCAGAGCTGAGCAATACCCCAAGAGAGTAAGACCACCAGAGTGCCAGAAATGGGGGTCCCTTGGAATTCCATAATCAAGGGGCGGCTCCAAACCCCTTCCAGGAGCATCCAGAAACCTGTGAGCTGAGAAGGCAGTGGGGGGCTAGGGGTGGGTTTGGGCTGGAGACTCTGTCAGGAGGGGTGTTTATTTGGAGCCCCTGGCCCTCCTGCCCCGCACTGGTGGATCTCTGCTTCATCCCCACCCCCACCCTGGCTCAGAGCTGCAGGTTCCTTGGCATGGGAGGGGGAGGGGTGTCTGATGCACTGGGCATCCAGCTGTGTTCCTGGTCTCTCAGGAAGTGTCCAGGTGATGGAGCATGGACCTGGAGCTTCCCTTGACAGGATCCCCATTAGCCCTTGGGGACCTCGGGATGGGTCTTGTTTGGTCCCATCTGCTTTCCAGCCCTGAGTTTGCTGTCTTATTGCAGTGTGCCCCAGAGAACACCCTGCCCACGCCCATGGTCCTGCAGAGGTGAGGCCACCAGTGGGTTGGGGACTTGGGGGGTTAAATATTCAGTTAAAACCAGAAGAGTTTCTTTGAGCCGGGAATGGACACTAAGCACTTGAATGCCCCTGTACCAGTTAACTTCACATAGGTCCTACTTGGGATCCTGCACTCAGAGGGGCCCAAAGGTGTGGGGCGGGGGTCGACACAGCCCCCCGGGTCACTGGAGGAAACAGGGAAGGATGTGTGTTTGTAGATGGCTCCTACCCTGTCCCACAGGAACAGCTGTGCCAAAGACCTCACGTCCTTCGCAGCCGAGGCCATCGCCATGAACCGGCAGCTGGCTCAGCGAGAGGAGGATGAGGCTGAAGAAGAGGCCACGGGGCAGGGCCCGCCTGTTGTCATCAGACCTACCTCACGCTGCCTGCAGCTGTCCCCGCCCTCTGAGTCCAAGCTGGCCCAGCGGCGGCAGAGAGCCAGCCTGTCCACCGCCCCCGTGGTCCTTGTGGGGGACCACGTGTGACCCCCCAGTCCCTTCTCTGTACATAGGTCACCCCCTTCCCATCAGACCTGAAAGGCTTTGGCGCTGTGGCCAGTCAGGGCCCAGGGGCTGCCCTCCCTCTGCTCTGGCCGTGTCCGGGCTCGCCCAGCTGGGGGTGTTTTATAGAAGGTTTTTGCTGTTGGTTTTTTTTCCTTCTTCCCCTCGTTCCCCTCCCATTTTTTTTGTTTTTCTGTTTTGTTTTTGTTTGTTTTTTTCTTCCTTTTGACGGTGTTAAAAGCAAAGCAAGTGCCCCGGGGAGGAGAGCGGAGGGCGTGTGGCTGGGCGAGCCCCTCCTGCACCTGCCCGTGATGCTCACCGGTACTGTGAAGGTCTCTGTGCCCCACCAGGCACCTGTGCCCCCGGCTGCCTCCCTCATCGCCCGCTTCCAGCCAGTCTGCCATCTCTGAGTGCTGGGGGGATGCACAGGGCCCCGCCCATCCCTCCCCACCCTCAGTATTTTCAGGGACAGCCCCCCTCCCAGTGACGAGCAGAAGCCCCTTCACTGCTTACCCCCGGGGCACCCTGGCAGCCTGGGCGGGGGCAAGGGCCTCACTTGTGAAAGGAGGGCTGGGGTTCCAGTAGGGGGGCAGCACTAGATCCCCAGCCCCCAGCCCCTGGCCCGAGCTCGCCTGCCCACCCGCCCTGTCCTTTGAGAGCTGACAATCGGGGCTCCTTCCCAAGCTGTCTGAGTGGATCCCCGCCAGCTGGACTTGGTCTCTGACCTTGACCTTAAACTGCAGCTGGCACGGGGACATACCCACTGCTCCCTCCCACTCCCCCGGGACTGAAGCTGGAGCCTGATCAACACTCAGAGTGGTTCCACCAAGGTGGGTGAGGGGCAGGACAGGTGCCCATCAGCCAATGTGGGGTCCCAAGGTGTCTCCCTACCCCCAGGGCACCTGAGTGCCCCTTCTCAGGGCTCAGTCTGACTATGCCCATGTCCTGCCCCACATTGGCCCTGAGTCTGGCCTTTGGAAGCTCTGTCACACACACCCCCATCTCCAGAGCTGGGGCCAGACCCAGGGGTACCCCAAATCCCTCCCATCCCCCACCTCCAAGGGCAGCGACTTGTGTGTGCCCACCTTCAGGAAAACGGCCACAGCTTGGCCTCCCTTGGGGCAACCAGGAATGGCCGGGGAGGGGCCGCTGGGTGCCCCCCCAGCTCTGACCCACTGCGCCTGGCCAGCCGGCTGTGGGCCTGGGGTCCGCCGCTGGGTCCTTGGCCGTGAACTTCTATGCAATACCAGTTCCCATTTTCTATGTGCAGTGCAGCCCTGCTGGTCAGGGGGGCAGCAGCGGGGGTGCTGGGCCACTGCCTGGCCAGTCCAGGCCTGCTCAGGTGTCTTGGGGCAGGGACTGGGCAAGCCCCCTGGCCTCCGAATCCGTGGTCAGGATCGTTTGTCACATTTAGTTAGTTTTTTTAAACCATCATTTGACTTGCTTCCCCGTTGAAGAATACTTGAATGTCGGAGGGGCCTCGCTGGAGGGGGCTCAGACACTGCCCAGCCCCTTACCAGCGTCACAGTCTGGTGGCCTGCGGGGGGGGGGGCGACGTCCGGCCCCATCCTCTGCCCTTCTGTATCTGTGGACCGACCTTTCCAAAGAGCCTGGAGGGGTGGGGAGCCGCCCAGCCCCGCCCCATCCTCGCTGGTGGCGGCGCTGCCTGCCCTGGGGACTCTGCCTGGCCGCCTCGCGTGGAAGGCCACGCCGCAGCAGCTGTCGAACCTCCCCAGAGATGGGCCTGTCACTTCCTCTCCCCCATTGCCTCCACACCGCCACCGGAGGACTGGTTAGAGCCGCTACTGTGAATGAGCGACGGTCGGGAGCGACCCCTGACCCGCTCCCGGCGCCGGGAAGGGGGCTGGCCGCTGACCATGTCCAGAGGCTCAAGACGCGGAAGAACTCGAAACTGAGAAAGTGGGGCGAAGACATCCAAGCACTTTAACTCCATTGTACCAGGTGAACGATTGAGCTCGAAAGTTTTCCTTTACACCAACTGTCAATGCCAGAATTTTGTATTCTGTTTTGTAAGGATTTAATAAAAACCGTAAAAAATGGCCCCTGCCTGCACGCTGCGCTCTGCCCCTGGCCGCGCAGGAGAGTGGAACCTGGAGCGGCAGGCAGGCCGCGTCCTCTCCACCAGGACGGTGCGTCAAAGGCAAGGCCAGGCTCTTCCAGCCTCCCCCGGAAGGAGGGACTGGGCACCCCAAAGCTGACCTGAGTCGCCCACGCGGTGACGGTGGCCTCCCCCCGGTGCCTTGGGGTTCTTTGTAACATGGCAGCTGAAGCCCTTGCAGGTGACCTGCCTCAGAGCCTCTGAGCACCCTCAGGTGTAGGAGGGGACAGCACATGGTGTCCTCCTCGCACAGGTGGACTATGGCAGCTACCCCTGTACGTGATCTAACAGCATCAGGGATTCAGACCCTCCCAGTGTGGCCAGTGCCCTCCTCTGAAGTCCAGCCCCTTAGCTGTAATCGAATTCTTGCTGTATGCAGCCTCTGTACCGGGATCAGGGGCAGAGGAGGTGAGCTGGACTGACCAGGGCTGGCTGCAGGTCTTAGGGGGATGCAGAAGTCAGGGAGGGCTTCCTGGAGGAGGGAGCACAGGGCAGACAGTGAAGCCCAGGGGTAGAGTCCAGCTCCACCCAGACCGCTGCRTGCCTTGCTTGCGGACCCATGCAGTCAGGGGTCTGAGAGTAGCCAGGTGTGGTCACATGCAGGCCCCACAAAGCCAGGCCAGGCCAGTTGGTGGGCGTGGCGGGGTAGGGAGGTGTGGCTTATCTGGTGGGCGTGGTTATGTGTCAGGAAGGGGCCGAACCAGTGGGGTGCCGGCTGGGGGTCCTGTGCTCCCAGCAGCAGGGGTGCAAGAGGCTTGAAAAGAGGAAGAAACTGGGGGCTGCAGACCCGCCGGGGGAGAGCAGTGGCGGTGTGCCCAGGCGTTGGGGAGGCTGAGCCCCGAGGACAGTGGGGAGCCCCTGCAGGTTTTCATTTTCTTAATGTTTGYGGTGCTGGGGACTGAACCAGAGCTGCCCTACCCCCGAGCTGCGCTCCATCCTTTATGTCGTATCTTGAGACCTGCTCTCGGGTTCTCGCTGAATTTCCCAGACTGTTCTCTTGCCTCAGCCTCCTGAGCCGCTGGGATGAACCGGGCAGCACGCGCCCAGCTAGGCCTTATTGAGATAAAATTCACACGTAACACTTACCCATTGAAAGTGCACACTTCCCAGTGGCTCAGGAGGCTGGAAACGGAGGGTGCGAGTTCAAGGTCAGCCTCTGCAACTTCGGGAGGCCCTAAGCAATTTATTGAGACCCTGTCTCAAAAATTAAAAAGGACTTGGGCTGTAACTCAATGGTAAAGTGTCCTGGGTTCAATCCCAAGTAATGAAAAAAATTAAAAATAAAGTGTGCCCTTCAAGCCTGGCATGATCACGCATGCCTGTGATCCCAGCAATTTGGGAGGCTGAGGCAGGAAGATCACAAGTTTGAGGCCAGCCTCAGCAATTAATTTAGCAAGACTTTGTCTCCAGCAGGACCGTGGGGTATATCTCAGTGGTAAAGGCCCCTGGGTTCATTCCCCAGCACTACAAAAATTAATAATAAAATAACAAAGTGTGTATCTTCTAGCACATTCTCAGGGCTGTACAAACACCACCTCTAATTCCAGACATTCTCAACATCCCTACAGTACATCCCATTCCCATGAGCAGTCACCCCCAGTCCCACACCATGATCCACGCCCTGTCTCTGGACTTGCTTGTTCTCGACATCTCCTGTCAACGGAGATGACATGTATGGCCTTTCTGTGTTCTGATTCTTTCTTTCTTTTTTTTTTTTTTTTAAAGAGAGAGAGAGGAGAGAGAGAGAGAGAATTTTTAATATTTATTTTTTAGTTCTCGGCGGACACAACATCTTTGTTGGTATGTGGTGCTGAGGATCGAACCCGGGGCCGCACGCATGCCAGGCGAGCGAGCTACCGCTTGAGCCACATCCCCAGCCCCTTCTGCTTCTTTCTTATCTATTAGTACTGAGGACTGACCCAGGGTCTCTGACCACTGAGTCACATCCCCATCCCTTTTTATTTTTTGAGATATCACTAAGTTGCTTAGGGCCTTGCTAAGTTGTTGAGGTTGGTCTCAAATCTGCGATCCTCCTGCTTCAGCCTCCTGAGCTGCTGGGATGACGGGTGCACCACTGTGCCCAGCTAGGCTTCATTTTTCAAATAAAATTGAAAGAAAAAATACAAGGCTGGACACGGTGGTGCACACCTTTAATCCCTGCAGCTCAAAGTTCAAAGCCAGCCTCAGCAACTTAGTGACTTAGTGCTTAGCCCTAAGCATCTCAGTGAGACTCTGGGGTGTTGCTCAGCGGTTGAGTGCTGCTGGGTCAATCCCCAGTGTCAAAAAAAAAAGAAAGCTTTAGGTTTGCAGAAAATTTGTGAGGATCACAGAGTTTCTGTGAACGCAGCATCCAGTTTCCCTGATCCGGCCTTGACTCTGGCATGGCCCAGTGACACTGGGGTGGCCCTGGTCACCCATCCTGGAAGCGGCTCCAGCTTCTTCCAGTTCCAGGATTTTCCTGCCACTGCTCAGGAGAACCAGTCATGGAAGAGGGCGGGCTGGGCTGGCTGAGAAGAAACCACAAAAATAAAATCTAGAGCAAGTTCACTGGACAAGCTGTTCCTGGCAGACCGCAGGGGGCAGGGAGCGGTCAGCGGCATGGCCAGGCAGGGCGGGCAGGACGTGGTGCCACCTGGGAGGGCAGGGACTTGGCATGTGGCACTGCCATGCCCCCTGCACACACAGGCACAGAAGCACATCTGTGCACTTCAGGCCCAGGCCTGGCAAGAGTCAGGGCAGCCGGCCAGGGAGCCCCGGGGCTCTGGGGTTGGCCCGGGGAGAGCCGAGCGGCCTCCTGGCTTGCTCAGTGTCTGTGAGCGAAGGCGTGTGCAAGATCCTCACCCAGGGCAAAGGACCGGGCAGCAGGGGCCAGGCCCAGCTCCATGGCAGAGGGCATCTGGGTTCAAGCCCAGTCCTGAAGGGGGTAAATCCAGGGCCCGGGAAGCCCCCGGAGCACCCCACAGGCAGTAAGAGCTCCCTGATGGGCTGAGGGACCGCTGTGGTTCAAGGACTGTGGACTATGGTGTCCCGCCTGGAGAGAGTGGGGACCCAGCATTCTGTGGGGCCCAGGACACCCACCGCAGAGAAGGGCCCAGCCCCGTGTCCACTGTGTGGAGACCCTGTTTAGGGCAGGTGGACTCACAAGAGGAAGGGAAGCAGGAGAAGCCACCAAAGTCCCCTGCAGGGCACCTGTAGCTCCGCCCCTCAGAGGAGGCTGGAAGGGCCAAGGGCACACCTCCAGGTGGCCCTGCTGGGGCCAGGAAGCCACATGAGGTGTTTGTACTCCTCAGTGACACACTGCCCCCACGGGGACACCAGGAGTGCCCAAATCCAGGTGAAGTAGGTGCCAGCCTTGGGGGCAATGGGAACCTGAAGGGGGAAACCCCCTGGGGCCACAGCAGCCAAGCTGGGCGGCAGCGGGACAGCTGGCCAGCGGTGGCCCAGGACTGTTTTCTGACCTAGAGAAGGAATTCTCCCAGGATGTGGCAACAGCCCCAACAGGTGCCCCGAGTGGATGTCCTGCAGAGCCAGGAACAGAGGTGGGGAGAGTCTGCCTTAAAAACCCTCCACTGGGCACAGTGGCCATGCCTGTCATCCCAGAGACGCAGGAGGCTGGGGCAGGAGCATCCCAAGTTCAAGGCCAGCCTTGGCACTTGAGTGAGATCTCGTCTCAAAAAATAAAAAATAAAAAGGGCCGGGGGTGGGCTGTAGCCCAGCGGTAGCCCAGCGGTAGCGCCCCTGGGTTCAACCTCCATCGTGAAAAAATTAATTAAAAGGAAAGTCCTGTTGTGGGGTCCCGACTCGGGGGTCCCTGGGGTGGCCCCTGTCTGACACTTGCTATCAGGGTGTCATCACCCACAATACACAGGGCCAGGAAGGGCGACCTAGGGACGTTTGGGAGTAGCTGGGTGACCTCTGAAGCCAGGCCCTAGCACACACTGTGCTCTGGGGAGAGCCAGCCAGGTGCTGAGGAGCCTGGAGCAGCCCCGTGGAGATGACCCTGTGCCCAGGGTTGGGTCAGTGTGCCCTTCTCCCGTGACCAGGCCTCCCTCCGAGACGCCCCACCTTCAGGGGCACTGGGGTAGCTAATTGGGCCACCTCTCAATGTCTCCTACCTGGGAAACTAGATTCAAAGGCCGAGAGGGTGGAGGCCATGTTTTTGGCTTAACTGTTCTCCCCGTTTTGTTTTGGGGTGCTGGGACGGAAGCCACGCTCGGCAATGAGTCGGCAATGGGCTGAGCTAGTCCCCGGCTGTTGCTGTTGTTTCTTTTAAACTGGGGACTGAACCCAGGTTCTACCACGAAGCTACACCCAGTCCTTTTTCCTTTTTATTTTAAATTGCCCAGGCTGGCCTCTATTTTGCGACTCTCCTGCCTCAGCCTCCGGAGTCGCGCCTTGAATATCCAAGCGGGAAGGGAGCCCCCAGGAAAGGTGAGGCTGGAGAGCTTCTGCTCTGCACTGGAGGCCCGACAGAGGAAGCCCGCGCTGCCTCCACGGGAGGTTAGGCCTCTGTCGGGCGAGGAGGCTTCGCGGGCTCAAATGCTTTCAGCCTAAAGTAACCCTCAGGTGAAGTGCCATCCTTTGGGCACGTCCCCGGCCCCACAACTCTTATGGCCTCCCGCTGAGTTTTTGCTGACCCTCTGTCTTTTTTATCTCCTCAATGCCAGGCATTTTGGTGGTGAAGGCTATTCCTCTGTGACAGTCCCAGTGTCCTTGAGCTGGAGGCCAGGGAAGGACCGAAGGGAGACAAATGACACCCCACCCCCTGGGAGCGGCTTGGCACGTGCGCCCTCTAGAGGCCACTGCCCACCGGCCGGGCCAGGTGGTCCCAGGATCCGGTGAGACGCTCAAAATGACCCTTTAAAAATTAATGTCGCCAGTGGTGCAGCGTGGGTTCCATTCCCAGCACCGAGGGAGAAAAGTAAAAGAAAATCTGCTGCA